TGGACAGGTAACCAGTCTATCACAGGGCTACACTTAGAGACAGACAACCAAGCACACTCACATTCACACCTACGGACAATTTAGAATCACCAATTATCCTCAACATGTTTCTGGAGAACCCAGAGAGAACCCACGCTGCACGGGGAGAACATGGAGACTCCACGCAGAAAGATTTTGGTGCCCCCACCGGGACGCGAACCAATGACCTTCTAGCTGCGAGGCAACACCGAGCCACCCTGCAGCCCGAGCGTTGGTCATGTGTGGCAGATTATCACCCCGGTCACCCTGGAAGTCAGTGACCTGCTCACCTGAGATCTGATCGCTGAGTTATTCACACACTGTCCGATACAGGCCATGTAGATGGTGCTGGTCCAGTACATATTCTAGTTTTCACACCTAAACTCGCCGCCATCTTGAAGCCCGCTTACTGGAATATCCCAGATGTCGTCATACTTCCATCCTGGACCGATGACGGGCAGCACTGTCCTCGTCTGACAGCGTTTTTAACTCACAGGATGTACATTTTGAGGAGCTTTTAACGTACAGCACATAGTTACAGATTTAAAAAGAGTTTTGTAGCTTCTCCTTGACAGCAGTGCAGTCGGGTCACATTTCACACGTCTGAGTCGTTAACAGCTCCACAGAATAATTAATTCTTTCCACTAAACTCTCACATGGTTTCATTTCAATAAATGATCCAGTACCCTTAGGAAACATCTTGAAATAATTAAAGATTAAAGACAAATGTCCCAAAAGTTTTAATAAAACATGAAAGAAAATATCAATAAAATGTCTCCAAAAGTCAAAAAATAAAGTTTGAAAAATTAGCTTTAAAAGACTTAAACATTGTTATAAAATCTCCCAGAAATTACTCCAACATGTTTCAGAGAAATATTAATATATAATGTGCAGAAAATAATAAAATATATTTTTAAAAATGGGAATAAAATGTCTTAAAAAATGTGTTAAATGTCCCAAAATATTCAGAGAATATCCCAAATGTTTTGAGTGAAGTGTGAGAAAGATTTAGGAGGAAAAATGCCTAAAAAATGTTTTTAAAGTCTCTCAAAGTTTTAAAAATATTAGTTGAAAGACACAAAGACACTCATAAAATGTCCCAGAAATGCCCCGAAATATTTAAATAAAAACGTTCCAAGCTATTTATAAATATATATTTATTTTTAAATGACCCCAAAGTGTTTATTAAATGTCTGACAACATAACAAAATCATCCAAATATAAAGAAAAATTAACCAAAATGAAGTAGAAACATCGATAAAGTGCCCCAAAAATGTCAAAGAAAAATCTGCGTTTCTAAAATGTTTGATAAATTATAAAATAACCCAAAAATGGCCAAAAAATATACAAATAGGTCAATAATATAAAAAAAAATATATGCAACAAAATGTGAATAAACTGACCACCAGATGTATATTTTTAGTAGTAAACCAGATATGAAGTGGTTCCAAACTGATGCTTCTCTGTTAATAATCTAATAATAAATCAGCCAGAGACCAAACCAGGACTCCAGTCATTTAACTGCATGTTGCTGCTGTGTACTTTGAATGAAGGAGGATGTTTTATGCAGGATTTTCACTGGTCGTATCTCTGGCTGGTTTTGGACCTTTTTAATGTAGAAACATGAATTCAACTCAACACACTCCTCTACTGGACATAAATACAAGTTTAATTTGTTTTCTTTCAGTTTGACACAGAACCGACTGAAATCTGACTTTTAAATCTTTATGAATTTGATTCTTCCTGGTTCCCAGACTTGTTCTCCACAAGGCTGATTTTTAAAGTGTTGAGCCTTTAATGTCCACATGATGCACTCATCTGTAATCAGAGTAGGAGGGAGGTTACAGGATACTTCCATAGAGTAGCTGAAGTTTGTTATAAACTTCTCATTTCACATATTTATAAGCTGCTAAAGAGAACAGATGTGTCGTCCAGGAATCACTTCAGAGACTTTGTTGGTTCTACCTGGATGAAGACGGACACATGAGGCGTCTCCAGAATTTTCGAGCCTCTTGTTCTGGCTCCTCGTCTTCGTTCTGCAGCTGAAGGTTCTCCAGGAGAATCTTTTTCATTTACAAGCTGCACATCTGAAAAGCTGCTGGCGTGTTGACGGCAGCAGCAGTGTGTCACGAAGGCACCCCGACGTTCCTCTTCTATTTATGAAGTTCACTTTTTGTGTCGTCTTTTCCGTGTTTGTGTATTTTTATTTATTTGTTTCAGTATTAATGTACGGTATAACTCACCTTCGTTATCCTGTTACAGCAGCTGTAATTAAAGGTGATGGTTCTAAGTGCCTCGTACCTTCGAATAAAAACACTTTTTTAAATACCTGAGTCTCTTCCTGAGTGTCGGACGGATCAGTTCAGTTTAGATGAATCGATCAGGTGACAACGTTTGATCACCAGTTAATCAGTCTGAGTCATTTTTTTACAATAAAAAACAGCTTTTCTTTTCTGATTTCTGTTTTGAGAACACAACAAGACGTTTGTCATCTTTGACTTTGGGAAACACAGATTAGTAGTTAAATAAAATGAAACACACTCATCTGACTGTTAAAACCACATCAGGTGTTAACGTTAAATTATCCTTCCTCAGTGGTTTGTGTCAGAATCTTATCGTTTTGTAGATTTAATTTAAAGTCGATTAGGTTTCTATTTTTGGCACAAGTTTTCACCCAACGACCAGAAAAGCTTCTTTGCAAGTTTATTTAAAACTGTGATCAGCTGCATTGTGTTTGCTTTGAATAACAATGACATTATTACATTTTAAATAAATTTAATATTCATACATGCCTGTAGGAGATATTTAAAGGACTGAAGGCTCAAAAATGATGTGTTCTTTTTAAGATGATGCTTCATTTATTGATATTGGAACTCTAAGCATTGTGTATAAATGTACGCAGAACAAGACAACAGATAAACACAATATTGACACTGAATGTGTCAGATTAAAGCGGTGAGAAACTTAAACAATACCACTTTATTTATAGAACACATTTACAAAGTGCTTTTACAGCCAGAGGGCAAAATAATAAAAAGAAGCCAGACAGTACAGCCAGACAGAACGACATAAAATTAGATAAGATAAACTTTATTGTCCCCAAAGAGACATGTGTCCTTTGGCAGAGGTGCCAATTTTTCAGTTCTGTACAACAACAAACAACAAGATAATAACATTTTAAAAGAAAACACACAACGAGGCACAACATGAAGCCACACATGTAATACAGTGAAATTAAGATAAGGTTAGAAAAAAGACGAAAATCTTTACAAAAATTACCAAAAGTCTGATAGAATTAGAAGAAGAAGAAGCTTTATTGTCATTGTACAAGAAATACAACGAAATTTTATTCGGTATCATCTTTGCAGCGGCTAACGAGGTCACAGTCCAAAAAAAAAACAAAAAAAAAATAGCAATAAAATATATAATACAGAAAAAATACTCTATTGAAAGTGCAAAAGAGCATTTGTTAGAATTAACTGCAAAAAGTAAAAGTAACTAATATTGTTTATTAAAGCTACAACATTGATGTATATATATATATATATATATATATATATATATATATGGATATAAAGTAGTAAAAAAGTATCACATAAAAACAAGTCTTTAAAATTCTATTTTTGAGTTATTGTAACTTTTGCTTAAGTATTTTAACCTAAGTTATTGTAACTTTTACTTAAGTACTTTTAACCTAAGTTATTGTAACTTTTACTTTTTTAAGTATCTCTAAGTACATTTGATTGAATTAAACTGCACTAACTTGTGTTTTTGTTTTTAGTTTGAGACATCATGATATGTGACGTTTGGTGTCTGTGAAGCAGATATTTGGACGGAAAACGGTATGAAAAGGTTGAAACCCAATCATCAATGCTGTTTTTGTTCCGTTTTAATGATCGCAGGCTTTAAAATTCACGTTTTCGTAGTTTTTTCCAGTTTAAAGTCCGACAGACAACAACAACAGGAAGTAGTAGTAGAGGGGATCGCCCCGCCCACTCACGTTGCGCTGCGGCTCCTGCTATTCGCCAACGTACTTACGCACAGAAGTGACGTCGCGCCCTGTGGTTGGCTGACGTCCGTACGTGAGCGACGTCTCCGCTCCGCCGTACCTGTCAGTCAGAGGACATTTAAATGGCCACAGCGTAGATCCGCGCAGCTCCCAGCACCGTAATAACACCGTTATTCTGGCCAACAGCCGCCCGAACAGCGTCTCTAGCCGCTGTCGGAGGCACCCTCACCCCGCTGACTTCACCTTTTAACCGCTAAGTTTGTCCGCGAAGCTCCAAAAAATGAGCGACGAGGAGGAGTTCTTGCAGAAAGCGCGGACCGGGTTTGAGGATCTCTGCCGAGCCCTGAACATGGACGAAGAGGCGAGCACGGAGGCGTGGAAGACCTACGAGAACATCAGCAGGAACTTCACTCTGGAGGTAAAAACTGACCTCGGGGCTCTAAACTCAGCTCATTGTCGGTGTTTGTGCGGTTTGTGCTTCAGCCAGAGTCCAAATTCACCGCAGCGCCGCAGCTAGCTTAACGGCTGCGGCGGCTAGCAGAGCCCTGACAGCAGCTAAAACAAAACACAGCTTCAGCTCTGAATCATTTATTAATCAGCAGCTTTAACACACAGCTTCAGAGTGCAGGACGAGATCAATGTGGTGCCGCTTTTGTAAAATAACTAAACAACACATCACGCACATGTGTAACTGGACCTGCCTACATTTAAGGGGAAAGTTAAGGGGAACTTTAGTCTTTAATGATAAAACCTTACTGCTCCTTAGAATCCACCTTCACATGTGTAATACCTTTATTTATACTATTACAGAACAAACTACCTTTAATGTCACTGACCAAACCATATCTAAGTTTAAAAACCACTAAACCTGCACCTGTCAAACCTGGACCAGACAAACAGGGAGAGTTTAAAAACTGTTTATAACACTCTTTTAGGAAATTAAAACCTTTATTCTTTAAGTGAAAACACAAAAATGTATATTTTAGGATGCATTTTTTAACATCTAGACCACATGTGATCTGGTCTACAACTCAAACCAATAAACAAAGACTTGTAAAATCCTGACTATATTATTTTAGAGAAGCTAGAAGCAGGTTAAAACACATTTGTTAGATGATTGAAAATGAAAAGAGCAATGTTATGGGTTTTTTTAAACATCCAGATTACAATTTAAGGTTCTCTCAACTTTCTCCTTAAGTGCCCAAACAGAAGCTAACTTCAGACCAGGTTTAGATCTAAAGCTGGTGCATTTAGATTTGTCAAATCTGGATGTTGTTTTTTGTTTTTTTTTACAGAGAAGTTAGTAAATAGTTTGTAGTTTGTATTTGGTTTTTGAAGACATTAAAAAAAATATAATGATTTCACTCCTTCTGTTTTTTTTTTTATTACTTTAATCTTCTTTTTTCACTTAAACTTGTTGAATCTGGGCTGTTTTTTTTCCAGAAAAGTTACAAACTGTTTAAATAAGGTTTAATTTTTGAGGAAACTTTATTCTATTAGTGAAAACTGAAAACAATGCAATTTTACGGTTTATTTTTCGACATTCCAGCCACGTCAGGTGCGGTCTGCAAAAGAAAACATTAAACCTGGAACACATGATCAGGCAGAGTTTAAAGACACTTTATGACACCATTTAAGGCAATTAAAACCTTAATTCTTTTAGTGAAGACTCAAAAAAACTTAAAATTCAGGTGTGTTTTTGATATCTACACTATTTTAAACCAGGTCTACATGAAAAAACACATTACTGATACTGGTTAAATATGGACAAGAGTATGTCAGAGTTAGTTTAAACCTGTTTAAACAGGTCTGGGAAGGCTTTATTTTGTTTGTGAAAGTCTAAAAAAAAAATCCCTAAATTCACAGCTAGACCACATCAGACTAGATCTGGATTAAAAACCAGTACAGTTAGCCTTGTTAAATCCAGGTTAGAAAACGGTTTTGAACAAGGTTTCCCTTTTGTTAAAACTTTATTCTATCAGTGGAAACAGAAAAAAACGTGCAAGTTTACTTTTTTCACACGTGGACCACATCATATTAGATCTACATCAAAAACTACAGTACCCACAAGTAGTAGTGAACTAGATTATCGAAGAGTTAGTTAAAAACAATTTAAAACACAGTGTCAAGACTTTGGAGGCTTTATTTTCTTTATGAAAACACAACGATCCCCATCAAGATCACATCAAACCAGCTCTAGAATAAAACCTGCAACACTTTTCCCAACGAGTGATGTAGACTAGATTATCCCAAAGAAGTTAAAAACTCCTAAAAACCCTGTTTCATGACTGAAACCTTTATTACTTCAGTAAAAACATACAAAAATATGTATTTTAGTTAGTTTTTTATTATTTTTTTATTTGTTTTAAACATGTAGACCGCATTAGACCAGGTCTGCATCAAAAACCAGTAAACCTGGACCTGGACTAGACAGACATGGAGCGTTTCAAACAGCTGAAATCTGTATTCTGTCTGTGAGAACAGAAACTCGTTGCCCTCATCAGATCAGCTTCAGTTTTCCTTCACTGTGAACCACAAACTAACTTCAGCGCCGTGTGACTCAGTGATAATGAAGTGTGGAGGAGCAGGAAGCCAGCAGAGGACCAACAGTGTCAGTGTAACACAACACTCCTCACTGACCGGTGATTAATGACGCTTCCTGCTTATTAAATAAAGTTCAGGTTATTTATAGCCTGAACTCCTCGGTGCTGAGCAGGAAAGTAACTTAGTACACGAGCTGCACTTGAAGCTGTGTTTGATGAGATGAACAGAATTGTTAGTCGCAGCGTTAATATGACGGATGACAACAAAAATCAGAATGTTGGATGTCAGTGAATTTGTGGCACCGCGGTGTATGAGGCCTGGTGCTACAGCAGCAGCACAAACTCTTATATTTCTTATATATTTATATATAATCTGCTGCTTATTGTTTTGTTTTTTTGTTTTTTTTTAGATTATATTCCATTATTTTATTTTTTTTTTCTTTCTTTTTTTTTTTGTGTAAACTGAGGGCAATTCTCGCTTCCTGACGTCTCCTGTCACACTTTATTTATTTCTGTTACCTTTATTTGTGTGTGAATAAAAGTTAATCTCTAACCCACACAGGGCAGCGAGCTGCACTGGCTGGCCTGTGCTCTCTACGTGGCCTGCAGGTCTTCGGTTCCGACGGTGGGAAAAGGAACCGCCGACGGGAACTACGTCTCTCTGACCAGAATCCTTCGCTGCTCAGAAATGAGGTAAGTTTACGTGTTGACGTCCTCATTAGGTGCTTTATTTTTTTATCGTCTTCCCGGGGTCCACATAGAGATGTACACTCACCGGCCACTTTATTACCCTGCTAGTACCGGGTTGGACTCCTGTTTGCTGCCTTAATTCTTCATGGCAGAGATGCAACATGATACTGGAAACATTTAGGTTCGTATTGACGTGATGGCATCATGCAGTCGATGCAGATTTGTCGGCTGCATATCCAGGATCCAGAGGAGTCACAGGTGTCTTGGTGGCCTCAGAAGAGTCATAGGTGTCTTGGTGGCCTTAGAGCTCTGCAGATCCTGATGATGAGCTGATCATTTGAATCAGGTGTGTTGGAAGAGGGAAACATCTAAAACATGCAGGATTGTGGCCCTCGAGGACCAGGATTGGTCACCCCTGCCTTTGAAGGTGTCATGGTGGCCTCCCTACTCGTCTGTTTAGTGCTCGGTCACTTAGAGTATGAAGACTTCCTTTACTGTGTAGCCAAAATAAACAATATAAGATTTAAAGTGGATTGATTCACTTTGGCATGTAAGAGTCTTTTTAAGGTAAATTTTCTTAAAGTTTCTGAACAAAATTTTTAGTCACGTGTCTGACAGTGAAACAAACAGTGGAAACGGTGGTGGCAGCATCATGATGTGAACCAGAAAAAATGGGTGTGTCAGTATTTTCTTTTTTTTCAACACAGATTTGAATAACAGAGTCTGTTTGGGTTTGATATCTGAGCTGTTTCTCCTCTCTGATCTGTAACTGATGGATCTTCTCGCCGCCACCTCTTTGCAGCCTGATCGAGTTCTTCAATAAGATGAAGAAGTGGCAGGACATGGCCAAGCTGCCGCAGGATTTCCGTCAGAGCACCGACAAGCTGGAGAGGAACTTCACCGTGTCGGCCGTCATCTTCAAGAAGTACGTTCCCATCTTCAAGTCCATCTTCAAGGCGCCGTCGGAGGAACCGCCGCGAGTTCACCGCAGCCGCAAACAGAGGTGGGAAAACCACGACCTTTCACCTTCATGTTATTGTCAGTGGATCAACATGTCAGCCTCATTTTATTGAGCTTCACACGTTTGTATTTAATGTTTCTGTGATTTGATTGTTTCGTACCACTCTCAGTTGTTTCTGTGTTTGTTCATTTGTGTCTATATTTATTTATTTATTGGTGTTTTGGTTCTATTCAGGTGCAAAGTCAATATATTTTAAAAGTTTTTGAACGCATGCAAGTAAAAAACAAAACAAAACACATTTTTATACTAAGACCATCTAGTTTAGACCATAAATCTGCATCATATTAAATTCTGTGTCGTCTTTTTAACAGATGAGAAGAGATTATTTCATCACATTAGTACATGTTATAGACTGGAAATAAACAACTGGCACATAATTTAATTTTAAAAGTATAACACGAAACCAAGTAAACCAGCAGAAAATGTTATAGGACACACAAAAGCAAAATCTGTCTAAAAGCTGTGATCAAAAGAAGCGAGAATTTTCAGAGGAAAACGTACAGGAGTTCGAATTTCTAAGGAAAACTGTTAAAAATGTAATAATATCAAAACATATATAATTATTATAATATAAAGTAACCTAACAAGTATAAATATTGGAGTTAAGATCCTACAGTGTTGTTTGTGGTGTGATTTTACCTAAATAGTTTACATATTAAAAATTAAAACCCTACAAAAATGATATAAAACACTACTTTACCTGACACAAAACATAAAACCTACCTAGTTCAGATAAAACACTAAGTCCCTACAATAATAATATTTATGGAGATTAAACTGATTAATTTTAAACTAAAGTTGTGACTCAACAAAAATCAATATGAAAACCCAACAAATCCAAGAATTTCCTGGATGTCCCCATTTTGTTTTTATGTTATTTTATGTGTACTGTTTTGTGTTTTTTGGGTGCTTTTTATTTTAAATTATTGTGGCTTTAGCTTTAGTAAAGCTCTTGAATCTTTGTTTTGCAGACGCCATCCGTGCACTGTGACCGAAGTCTTCAACTTCTGCTGGGTGTTGTTCGTCCATGCTAAAGGTAAAGACTGCTGCTCTGCACATCAGCTCTGTAGAGATGTTCCACCGTGCTGAGTGTATCTCCAACAACCTGCTCCTCTGTTCACTGTTTCTGAGCCATGCTGCATTTGTTTCATTGATCCAGTAGGTCTGATTTTCCTCTCTGCTCCGTGGAAACACTGCCCGCAGTTCAGCCTGAAAACTCTGAATGTTTGTCACAGTTGAGTCAGTCGTGGCATCAAGGAGCTCAGAATTTTGTTTTTTAACAGGATGTAGTAAAAAACGTTTATTTTTGTGGAAATGAGACATCCAAAATACATAATTTTAATTAAGAAAATCACGACCTGAAGCTGAGATTTTATTATTTTAACTGCTCGAACCGCATATCTCACATGATTAGTCTGTCAGAAAGTTGCAAATCCGACGATTCTTTCTGTTTTTTACAGTTTCTGCCTGATAAACGATGTAATTTTGAAGATTTTAAAAAGAAAACATGCCTTTAAAACCTGACAGCAGGCTTTAGGGTTCAAAGGCTTCAAAAAATGTAGAAAACCATAGTGACATTTATTAGGGTCCGAGGACCCCTACTTGCAAAGCAAGTAGTTTTGTATTTAGTCTCCTTGGGCTTCAAAAGACATTAAAAGGCACAAAGAAGCCTTGTCTTTCATTTACAATGACTTAGAATATTTTAAGACTTCGTTTTCCACTTAATTTCCTGGAAGTTTGCATATAATTTCCTAAGAATCTGCTGCTGTTTAGCTGTGAATGTTTCTGACAAAGTCCTGCACAGTTTGATGCCGATTATGAGGGAAACTGAAGTCACAGATATGAGGTACTTTCTCATTTTATTATAATTGTTTACAACAAAAAATCCTCAATAAGGTTTCAGTTAAGTGAAAACTAATTGATAAAGTGATGTCAACGTCCATCAGAGTTTGTAGAAAAAGCAGAGACCGTTGAAGGTGGTTGTTGGTGACTGTGAGCTGCTGATTTTATAGATCTGCTGCAGGAAATCTTCGATGTTTCTGCTGCGTGTTGGTCGAGCTGCGTTCTTTTCCTGCAGTTTTCGACTGCAGTGAAAATCAATAAGTTTCATACTGACAAACTGATGATGAAAAAATCAAACTACCTCCATCCTGTGAACACACCTGGTTCACACAGACACATCTGGAGAATACAGTCTAGTTCATTTTCTGTCTGATTGACGTCTCGTTACTGATGTCAATTGTTCAACTAACCAACATATAATTTACTGTTTTTTCTTATACTGTAGCAATAAACACTTTTCCCCGCAAATTAGTATGAAACTACTTTTCTTGATCATATCAGTTGATTTACAGCAAATAATTATATGACACAGGCTGTAGTTTTAACTGAGAGGAAAAGTCTTAAGGTTTTCTCTCATTGTTCGTTCCTTCTGTACTCTGAAGACTAGTCTGAACCTGCCTGCACAGATTTGGCAGCTTTCTGATCCGCTGTGCCAACGTAGCCTGCAGACACAGTAATTCACTCATGGTTGTTTTTTTTTCCTTCTTTGTTCCTTGTTCAGGGAACTTCCCCATGATCAGCGACGACCTGGTGAACTCGTATCACCTCCTCCTGTGCGCCCTCGACCTCGTCTTCACCAACGCTCTGCTCTGCAACGCCAGGAAAGACCTGCTCAACCCGGAGTTTAAAGGTGCAGCTCAGTTTTACACATACAAACTTACTGAGTGCTTTACAACAGCAGCTGAAACTAATATTAGGTTCAGGATTGTCACTGTAGAATATCAGGATCAGATATTTGTATGCAAATATTTGTTTATTCACCAGGAACACAGTGTGCAGTTTGTTTTAGTTCAAGTGTCAGATAAGCAAAGTTGAATTACTGAATAGAGTACAATTAATCATGGTCAGTTTAATTTGGCATTTTCTCAAAGCATTTACAAAAAAGACTCAGCTAGAGTTCACCAGAAGCCATGTGGCAGATTCTGAAGTCAACTGGAAGAAGGTTCTTTCCTCTGATCAAATCAAAATTGAGCTTTTTGGTCATCAGGCTAGATGCTATGATTGGTGGACACCGAACACTGCACATCATCACTAAACACACCATACCCATCATAAAGCATGGTGGTGGCAGCATCATGATGTGAAGCATGGAGGTGGCAGCATAGTGATGTGAAGCACGGTGGTGGAGGCATCATGACGTGGAGCATGGTGGTGGCAGCATCATGACGTGAAGCATGGTGGTGGCAGCGTCATGACGTGAAGCATGGTGGTGGCAGCATCATGA